CCCCACCCCCCTAGAGGTTTTATGTCTAAATTATCCTCCTGTGTGATTATGGAGTCAAATACTCCTCCTAATTATATATTTTACCAGGATCTGATGATTGAATTTGTTTTCCTGTATTTTAGAATAGGAAGTGGGTGTATAAATAAATGTGTTACAATCAATAAGGATATTAAGTGGCTATATATATTAAGTCAGTAGTACTATACACTCGTAGATCTTATAACTACCGGGAATTAAAACCATCGGTATATTTGTATTATACAAAGGGCCAAGACATAATGCCCTTGACACAAAATTGTCTCCTGAGGCTGCGATTAACTTATCCGGGCCCTTTTGAACTTGTTTTAAAACAGCTGGGGAAAGTACGATTGGCTTATATCTCACATATATTTAAACCCGAGATCTTCGTGTGTGACTGCAGAAAAATATTAAGACGTTGAGTATAGTCAAGTTCCATTATGTCGTTATAAACATATATATATATACGTGTAATGCATCAATTGTTCAGCGCCTTGTGTATAGTTAAACTTTTGTTGTACAACCTATTGAATTGATCTGTGCAGTGTTGCATGTTCCTTCTGGTAAACAGCCTATCATTAAATATTCAAGTACATGTGGCTGTTTGGTATTTAAAGGTTTAGGTGTGCGTGGGGATATGCTGTCTAGGTTTGGCCTTAATGATCACTGGACTGTAAAGAACTTACAGTGACCTTCAGTAAAATCAAAGTCGATAAAAAAACACATTGCCAGTTTATGTTAAGTATTCATTGTGAGTGTTATTTTTAGATTGAATGCAGCAAATCCACCCAGCAAACTATAGCTATACACATGAGTGAACGTGTATATATATCGAAGGTGTTATAACACATTCATTTTGTTTGTGTTGATCATACCTGTGTTTCAAAACCTCAGAAGCAGAGCTAGAAAACCATGGGAAACATTTTCTCATTTCACCGTGCCCCTGAGATAGAATCAAGAGAAGGACGGTTCATCCAGCCCCGTAGCGCACCCCTGGAGCACACAGGTGGGTATGCACGAATTTAGCTTCTGTAGAATGTACAAAGACAGGGCTGGGCAAGGTATAGTAATTAGGACAGCTAGGACTGAGCATAGGCAGAGTGGACACAGGACAAGGCAGAGGCAGGTCAAGGTGGAGACAGGGCAGGGCAGGGCAGGGCCGGGCAGGGCAGAGGCAAAGAGAACACAGGACAAGGCAGAGGCAAAGCGAAAACAGGACAAGGCAGAGGCAGGTCAAGGTGGAGACAGGGCAGGGCAGGGCAGGGCAGGGCAGAGGCAAAGTGAACACAGGACAAGGCAGAGGCAAAGTGAACACAGGACAAGGCAGAGGCAGGTCAAGGAGGAGACCGGACAGGGCAGGGCAGGGCAGGGCAGGGCAGGGCAGGGCAGGGCAGGGGCAGGGCAGGGCATAATGTAGCAGATAAAAGACAGTGCAGGGCCATACAAGATCAAATGCACAAAATAACCGGTGATTCATAGGCAGGATTTGTGCAAATGTTGGACCAGAAGAGGGCTGGGTAAATGGGTAGGGTGAGCAGAAAAAGGGTTCTGATAAGGGAGAAGATTAAGTTAAAGATTACAGTGGCAAAACGGACGACAATTAGGTTGGGATGATGAAGATAGATAAAGGTATGATGAAAGGCATATCTGAGATATGACTGATGAAGCAGAGGGTAGTGTAGGTATGAAACAGCTTATGGAACAGAGTAGGTGTAGGACAGAAAGGGCAAAGCTGGGATAAAGATGGAAAAGAGTAGGCGTAGGACGGAAAGGGCAAAGGTGGTATAAACATGGAACAGAGTAGGTGGAGAACAGAAAGGGCAAAGCTGGTATAAAGATGGGGTCATTACCAGTTACAAAGTGGCTGACACGCCAGCTATGGTGCTGTTGAGTGGGGTTACATTGATAACTGAAGTCACATGACCCTCTACAATGTGTCACATTCATACCTGAAGTCACATGACTCTCTACAGTGTATATTATTGATAACTGAAGTTACATGACCCTCTACTGGAACAGAGTAGGTGAAGGACAGAAATGGCAAAGCTGGGATAAAGATGGAAAAGAGTAGGAGTAGGACGGAAAGGGCAAAGCTGGGATAATGGGCAAAGCTGGGATAAAGATGGAACAGTGTAGGTGTAGGACAGAAAGGGAAAAGCTGGGATAAAGATGGAAGGGAGTAGGTGAACGACAGAAAGGACAAAGCTGGGATAAAGATGGAACAGGGTAGGTGTAGAACAGAAAGGGCAAACCTGGGATAAAGATGGAACAGAGAAGGTGTAAGACAGAAAGGGAAAAGCTGGGATA